AGCCATGGATATTAGCCATGAGAGCTAAATGAAATATACGCATTGAGAAATGTGTACCTCAGTACAAGAAACTGGACATGTATAACAAACAAGAGTTTCATAGGAAAGAGGATGCAGAAGATTTTCTGTTATTATGTGAACCATGGAAGAGTAGGATATATTTATTAATTTAATTAGTAGGGGAAATCTAGAGGAAATCTATTTCCCTTAGATTGTGATCTTGATTTGAATCCTGACAGCTGCCACCTTATGCTATGCTTGTGCTAAATTACTATGCTGTGACAGACTGCCATGAACTGTAGGGAGGGGGAAATGCTTTGTGAAATGAAAGTAAATTCTGTATCTCCTCGAGATGCTGCCTCAAGATTACCCAGTTGGAAGAAGGAGGGGCTGCATATACTTGCACTGTCTGTTTAGGAAAACAGCTTGCCTGAATTAGATTGGTTACACCGAGGTGAACAATGAGAGACAGTTAAGGGAGGAAAAAGTAGAACTTGGGGATTTTGGCACGCCATTTTCAGTTCTTACTTCCATGTGATAAGGAGAACCTGGATGACTGCAAGAGATAAATTCTGTTCCCCTAAGACAGAACAGGTTTTTTTTCCCCCCACCAGTCATGAAATAAGAAGAGAAACAAACTTCCTGGGGAATTAGTATTTTGTAAGCACTCTGGTTTAGGTCACAGCTGTCAACTCGGAAAGAGATTTCCAGACATTTTTTCTGAGGCTTACTTCATTTAATTTTTACATTAAATGAATTAGAAAATATGATTAAACATCATTGAACGTTCTCCACTAAGTTTGTCTAAACTTACAAACCCATGAATCATAGGCAAAATAAAAAGATGAAAACTTTATTAGAAGGAAGATCTTCTCTGTTTGGTAGGCTTTGAGACTAAATTGATTTAACTTTGGAATATGTTCTTCTAATTTCTGTGGTATTTTATTTATGAGTATTTGAATTTAACTTTCAACATTTACTGGCCAAACATTCGGTGGAAATTAGTTTTCCACTGAAAAAAAATCTCCAGTCCAAAATAAGCATTGCTTAGCTTCAAGCTTATTTTTTTCTATTAGAATTGATGGAATTTAGTATTTTAATTTGGCTGGATCATGCTTTCATCTTAAAACAAAACTAATCAGTGACTTATTGCAGCTTTCACAAGTGGTTTCTTCATGAGGGTTAATTCAAAATATACATTTTGTGGGAGTGAACATTGGAGAGGGAAAGCACTTGTTCATGATTGGTTAGTTGTGTAATATAGATATCACATACTTATTATTTCTAAATATTAAGACCATGATTGTTTAAAAGAATATCACAGTTTTCTATTTTTATTCCAGATTCGCCACAAGTAATATTTTTATCTCATTAATTCATCTCTTTTACCCCAACTTAAAATCAGAGATTTTGAGAGAGAGAGAGAGAGAGAGAGAGAGAGAGAGAGAGAGAGAGAGAGAAACTTCAAAGCATTTATATAAAACTGTACCAATTAACAATGTAACTTGCGCTAAGGCCTCTGTTGCTATGTAGGGTAATACTTGCATTCCTTTGTAACAAATATGTCAAAGGAAATACTGCTGATGCAACTTGGGACAATTTCTTCTGTCAGGTTTCTCAGATTAAGGGAAAAAGTAAACCTGACTGAGCCTTACATGCCTAACTTGTGGACATGTGTGCTTGATGAAAGGTACCTGAAATTCCCGTCATTAAAATACAACAATTTATTTTATTGCTCTAACAGATACTGTCCTGAACAGATAAACATTATGGTAGCTGTAGGAATTACAAAATTCCCTTCCTGGTGGCAACCTTACATTTCAGATAGCCTCTCTTGTATGCCTCTAGAATATATTTGCAAATGTATTGAGAAAGTGTTTTGTTTAAAGTAGTAAGTACATTTATATATCATACATATTTTCATTTGTATCTCAAATTAATTACATCTTTATTCTATGATTAGACATTTAATAGGAATTAAATGAACATTCTATTGAGGAACATTTTCTTGAATTCCTGTTATTTTTGTTGTTGTTGTTTTCTTTAAATTGTTTTAGATGTGACTAGATGATTCTAGCAAGTCTGATGTGTAAATTTAATAATAAATTACCATTATTTGGTTTGACTTGTAGATACAAGGTCCAGTTTATGTTCTATTGATGGACTGATAAAAATACTGTAGTTAAAATGAGAAAGCAGATGATGACAAACATTTATACCTGTAGGAATACACCAGGATTCAAAGCATGACAAATATCAGTCATGTTCCATATAAACTCAGTAGATAGCTTAAACTTACATTTCAGATCTTAGAACAATTGCGGTGGCATTGTTAGTTTTCAAATAATTAAAATAGTTTTCAAAGAAATAAGCTACATATAACTCTAGAAAGACTGTCAAAACAAATATTCTCAAAATATTCAAGAAGATTTAGGTAACCATTTAGCATTGTGAATATGGCCTACTGATAATTCAAAAAGAAAGAAAGGCCAGTACTTTCTTTAATTCTGTTCATGAACCATAAAAATTAAAAGGGAACATTCTCTCTGCTAAAATTGAGAAAAGTAGGGAATTCTACTGATGGAGATAATCCTTTTTCTTCCCCATGCATCTTTAAAGTCACATATAGATTACTTCAAGACTGTTTTGCAAGCTAGAATGCTTGGGCTTATTTTCATATCACATTTGTTTAATTTCCTAAAAATCATCTTAATATATATTCCAACTCTGGATCATAGCATTTAAACAAATGCAATGATATCGAACATATATCAAACTTCGCTCAATTCTTCTGACAGTTCTGATGAATGCTAGAGCCTTGTAACCATCTTTTTTTCTCAAGGGAATTTGGAAAGGGGTATCCATCACAATCAATATTAGTTGATAATCTTACCAGCTCAATTCCATGTTTCCTAAAGCAGTTGAACACTTTGCCTGGCCCAATGTTACTCATCTTGAGTTGTTCATCAGTCAAGTAATAAATCGACTAATCAGAGAAGGAGGGAGGGGGTGCCTTCCTTTGAATTAAGTATGAACTTCCTTCGTCTCATAATATCCTTAACAAAACCATGATGGATATTTCCATATACCCCCTGGGGAATGTGACGTCTCCTGCATAATGCGATCGCCGTTTCTGAAGTGGAAAAGTGGTCCTGTGTATATAAACCTATTAAATGAGGCAGCTGGAAAGGCTGCACTAAGCCTGCAAAGAAAAGCAGGCTGGTAAACTTCAGACCAGCAGACCAGATACTTGCCTTTGAATACTCTGCTCAGTATCTGAAGAAGAAAGTGTGGCACACTGAAGAGAAATTCAGCACCTAGGAGAGCTCCAAGTGTCCCTTGTGCAAAAATCACCATTACCGTATTTTTGAGGAATCCAAAAGTCCGTCTTCTGGCTTGGTAAGTAAAAGTTGATATGTGTTCATTTCAGTCTAGAGAAATATTTTTTTTCCCTAAATTCATTTTTAGATTTTCTGTATGTATGTTGGTATGACTTAATAATAATGCAAACAGTTATCGCAATGAATTCAAAATATGAATTTCTCTTCGGGGATGATTTTCTGATTTCTCTCTCAAATAACAAAAGTTTTTCTTTTAAAAATGCCTATTTCATAATTAGTATTTCATATTCTTTTTGAATTGTCTCTTTTCCTTGAATACAAGGGAATGTTCATTATTCACCTTCTTCTGATCATTTAAACTATTTCCTTTATATGCAATTTAAGAGTTTTTAAATAAATCATGAAGACTTTTTTCCCATCGTTTTTCACATTCACATGTTTAAAGAGTAGTTAAGAAATATGTAATTTCTCTAAAATTATTTACTTAAATTTCAGTGGTACTCTATATATATTTTTTACATTAACTCTGTTCTTGTGGTCAGATAAAATGAATACTTTTTTAAAAAAACAATGAATGGATTTCAGTTGCAGAACAATGTGAACATATTCCTGAGGGGAAGCTGTGTTAGACTGTGACAGTAAAAACAATAGACAATTTTGTAGCAGCTTGAAGATTTATATGTTTTTTATAGCAGAAGCTTTATCTGGTCACACTCTCCCTTGGATAAATATTTTCAGGAGAATGGATCACCATCACCATATAAGTTCTTGTCTTTAATCTCAGAGCTCTTTATGTGGATGTTATGGACTAATTTTCAGTGAGTTTAGTGGTGTTTCAAATGTTTGGCTCTATTTTCTGTCATAACTTCAATGCAAGTGCAGCCAATACAAGTTCTTTGATGCTATTTTTAACAACAGGATAAAATTACTTTGAAAATCAAGATGATCTTAGTTAATATTTTGACACTTTAATTATATATAATTAGCAAAATTGTTTATCTGTCAATCACTCTATTTCCGCCCCTTCCCCCATATCCTCTGAACCTCAACTTCTGCTTTTTTATGTCAGGATTCATTTAAAATTTCTCTGCATGCCATATGCTTAACCTCAAGAAAGAAAGCATTTATCAAGTAGCAGAGCATAGCTATGATATTCAATATATTATCAATGTTATTCATATTACTAGTAACAGTTTTTCTTATAAATCAGCAGATTCTTCTGTGTAGACCTGCATAATAATTCCTATTGCAGATATTCACTATGAAGAAATTTCTGGCCTCTGAGTATTTTAATGAAAATGTCTAGTCCACATTCTTAATTCATAATTTGAGCTATAAATGAGCACAGGTACAAATACACACACACACACACACACACACACACACACACACCTTATCTATTTATCTACACCTACATTTATATCTATATCTATTGTAGATATCATTTACTGTAGATGTACATCTCTCTCTCTCTCTCTCTCTCCCTCCCTCCCTCCCTCCCTCTCCCTCTCCCTCTCCCTCTCTCCCTCTCTCCCTCTCTCCCTCTCTCTCAATGCTACTGATTTTCCAAAACAACCTCTTTCTGACTAGATCTTTATTTATTAAGCATTGGAAACTGATAGCGTGTTCTGTCGTTTTTGCCAATCCAGGTCAAAAGAGATGGAACACAGAAGTAGCTCCCATCTTCTCCTCTTTTTCACATTCCTCTATGTTTTCTGCTCTCAAGTCATTGCCTTGCCTCCTTTAGGAACATATTCAGCTATAAGGTAAGAAAACCCTAAGCAATCTCTTCTATAACTGATAACATGAGTTGCAAATTTAAGACGTTCTTGAATCCTATGGACTGAAATAAGACAACTGTTACTTGTGTTGATAGCCAAATCTAATGGCAAATATTATTGCTTCCACTGTCACAAAGTTATCTAAAGAATGTTATACACTTTTTACTCTTTAACAAATAGATATTGGAATATTTATTTAGGTAAATAAATTAGGTATTTTTGAGCTGTTGCAATTAGACTTTACCTGTATACATGGATTAGGGTAGAAAAGACAATTTAATTCAGTAAATATTAAAAATAATAATAATAAAGATTTAATCAGGGAATTTACCACCCTTCAATTTGGGTGTCTTTAAACTATCAAACTCAAAGCTTGGGTAAGTGAGGGGGGAATAAATTTCCATATATGCAAATGCACATGCAACTGTAAGCAGGTAATATCATTATGCAGCTGGTAGCTTGTGAATATAAAGAATATGATCTTAATTATTTAGAAAATTGTTAATGTACTCATTATATTTGTTTATGAGAAACTTGGAACAGATCATAAATTTGGTGCTCTAGAATCTGGATTCTGAGGTTGTTTTGCATGGTTCCATTCATATAAAAGAGCACACTTTACTATATCACACATAAGGAAACAGACACACCTTCACTTGGGAACTTCCCTTAGCAATAAGTCTCAGAGATTTAAAAAAACAATATTTGAGATATTCAGAAAGCATTTTATTATCATTCTTAAGAAGTGAAGCAAGGTTGACCTAGTTAGTAGTTACATGGCAGACCAAAAGGAAATACTAGTGTTGTAATCTAGACTGGAATTAGGAAAAAAAATCATTCTGGAAGTTGTACTACTTTATCAAGAAAACAATATATCATTCATATAATCACTTTGCATCCAGTTTTGGTCTCCACAATATTAAAAAGATGTTGAGATTCCTGAAAGAATGCAGAGAAGAGCAAGACAAATGATTAGAAGACTGGAGGCTAAAACATATGAAGAATGGTTGCAGGAACTGGGTGTGTTTAATGAAAAGAACTAGGACTAGAGATGACATGTTCCAATATCTAGGGGGCTGCCACAAAGAGGGGGAGAGGTTCATTCTCTTAAAGGCAGAACAGGAAGCAATAGATGGAAATTAACCAGAGAGAGCAAACCTATAAATAAGGAGAAATTTCCTGACAGTTAGAAGAATTAAACAGTGGAATGGATTGCTTTCAGAAGTTGTGGTTGCTCTATCACTGGAGGCTTTTATTATTATAATAATAATAATAATAATAATAATAATAATAATAATAATAATAATAATAATAATAATAATAATAATAATAAAGTTGGAAGGTACCTTGGAGGTCATCTAGTCCAACCCCCTGCTCAGGCAGGAAACCCTATACCATTTCAGGCAAATGGCTGTCCAGTCTCTTCTTAAAAACGTCCAGTGTTGGAGCATTCACCACTTCTGGAGGCAGGTTATTCCACTGGTTAATTGTTCTCACTGTCAGAAAGTTTCTCCTTAGTTCTAGGTTGCTTCTCTCCTTGATTAGTTTCTATCCGTTGCTTCTTGTCCTGCCTTCAGGCGCTTTGGAGAATAGCTTGACTATTTTAAGAAGAGCTTGGACAATCATTTGTCTGAAATAGTATAGGGTCTCCTGCTTGAGCACGGGGTTGGATTAGAAGACCTCCAAGGTCCCTTCCATCTCTGTTATTCTGTTATGTAGTGTTATGTGGGATTGACTTTGACAGACAGGAGGGAAGAGGCACAGCCAAGATAACAGTGGGATAACTAAAATTTGAGTCTGAAGGAGAGTGTCTCAAAAGGAACCCCTTAGATTTTTCAGAGAGCAAAATTGTTCTGAAAAATACTTTCAGACTTGCAAGAGTCTGTAGCCATATCATTAAGATAGAACTAGTGCTTGTCTGGATTAGTTAACCTCAATGCTGCATGTATAACCCTCACTTTCACATGTTCATATGTATGGTCCACAAATTGACTGGAGCCCCATTTATTTAAACCCACCATGGTAAGTGAACAAATAGGAAGCAAGGTGGGGCAAATAATTGCTAGCTCACATTTACTAATTATATTAACATTCTTTGAAGTAATGAGCATGAGAAAGCTGGGACTAAAAATAACAGAGTTGCCATAACTCATGTAACCATTGTTAGTGGTAAATGCCACCCATTATAACTCAGAAGAATATTTTATTTTCTAAAATCTTGAGAACATCATCATTAGATCCTCATTAGAATGTTTAAAGTAGAAATCCATCCAATGAAATGCACAGATAAACTGAAATGCAGGAGATATGCAGGAGAAAAATGATCAAATAAATATTTCATATTTTTACAACATGCAAATTTCACCCAAAACAACACGTGAAAATGGTAAAAGATTAAGAAATCTACATTTTATAACCAATTATTTCATACATGGGATATCATGAAATGAAAACTTATTTTAAATTACTAATTTATTAGTAATTTGAAGAGTGAGGCAAACGATATTCTAAGAGAGTATTATGTGAGGGTGGAATAATTTTGAAATGCCATAATTGCCTTCAAAAGAAATATTTTTCCAGATTTCTTTTTTGATACAGAAAAGAATTTCCCATGAAAAGGAAATTATTGATATATTATGGCTATATTATATCAAATCACCTATTAGTTTTTTATTAGCTCTAGGAAAGGTGTTAAGGAAATATTTAGGATTATTAATCTGTCTTTCATCCATCTGTCTATCGTCCGTCCGTCTGTCCGTCCGTCTGTCTGTCTAGCTGGCTAGCTGGCTAGTCGACTATCTACTTTTATGAAATTCGTAACAAAGAATCAGGATTCGTAACTAAGAATTACTGATCTAATATGATCCCAGAAATCAGCCCCTTTCCTGTTTTATTGTAAGATTAACCAAAATTAGTAGCCTTTGCAGCCATCAAAAGAAGAGTTCCTTGAATCAAACTTTTTCTCTACGAAGGGGAAAATCTGCATTCTGTGGCTCCAGCAATGTTCTCCTTATGATCACAGAATTGCATATTTAATAACTAGGGGAAAGTTAAAAAGAAATAGACATTATAAGAAGTTCCCTGTTTCAGACAAAACATTCAAGGAAAGCAATAGAATCTTATAAACATGGGTAGTAGTTAACAACTAAATGTCATGACATTCAGTCTGTAAAAAAAAGAAGCATATGCCAATTTCTCTAAGCCTAAGCTTCAAATGGGCATTTTCCTAATCATACTATCAACTGACAAATTAGTAGAACATTAATTGGAAGAAAGCACATTGAATTATTGGTAAAACAAAGGTCTTTGCTTGCCCAAATGTTACAGAAAGTAATATACACATTGTAATAAGACTGAAAAATTTGTAACTGAATTAAGTATAAGAGCAGAGAAGCAAATATTTGGAAGACTTTAAAACATATTTCCCAACATAAGGCTAATTAGCAACTTCCTTACTCTAAGGCAGCCAAGGAACTTTCTGAGTGAGTTTGGGAAAACTAATCATTCTTCTGTAGGAACATTGGCATCCTTCTCACCATTAGTTTCTACTGTCCAACATGAGCTTTCCAAGCACTATTATTTTACATCCTTATTGCAAACCTTACCTTGGTCCCTCTTGTCCAGTAAGGAGGAGGAGGAGGAGGAGAGACCTAATCAATTTATATTAAGAGCTGATTCATGGCTACCACCAAGGACCATATGTCCCAAAACTGGTACTTCATTTCTTCCAATAGCATATTAAAAATAAATAGATGTAAACATGTTAGAGCTAAATTTTCAAGGTCATCTTATATTATCCCCTTTTTCCACCTCTCACTGTGGGAACAATGGAACAAAAGAAGGATGTAATAGGAAAGCAGTATTAAGGGAAGCAAAGTGTAATTTCTGCTTATATTTTTGGTTTGTGTATTCAGTGGAAAAGTTTTAGAATCCTTATTCATAGACTAACATGCTGAAGTCTGATGAAGATTCTTTCTACAAGGAAATTTTGTACTGTATGTTTTTGACAACCTGGCTTTCCCATTCATATTTTAATATTTTTACGTTCATCCTGTTATTATACTGTATATAATGAAATGATAGAATGGGGACCTCAGTTCTTTTTCCACATAGCCCATCTGAATGAAATTGTCCATATTTAATTAACTGATCTATATCACTCAGTTAAGCAAATGATTCAAAATCTCACATTGTTTCAGTTCTGTTTGGAATGTTCTGGTGTGAGAGCACAGTATGTTTCCCTTCTGTTTTTAGACAATGGAGAAATATGCCACCCTTATGACATGAGTAGATGACTTTAAAGTATCTTCGAAGTCCTTGTCTGTGAGAATTCTCTCCTTCCAAATCATTCTCAACATTTTTACCACCCTATTTTCCCCTCCTTCAACCTTTCTCAGATTAGGAAACAGAATACCATTTGATGGACAAAGTGAATCTGATCACACCCAAAATTCATTAAAACCTGAGGCTGACATTCTTCAAACTATCGTACCTGAAAACGAGAAGTTCTATTTTGATATGTCCAGAGCTATTGACAGGTAAAACCTTTGATCTCCAATAAACACTGAAAAAAAAAGCCTTTGTGAACTAATGTTGATAAATTCACTGAGGCTTTCTGCTCTGTAGGTCTACATGTCCTATTTGAAATAAAGACTTTGCAACAAGGAGTCAATTCACAGCATTTTTTGTGCATATCACCAATACACATTCATTTTCATTTCTGTATAATAATATTGATCGTACATTTTAAATCCATTGTAGAAATACAAGACATGCTGATGGGCTCTTTACAAGTGGCTACAGCAAACTTTTGGGTCAACTTTCTGCAAGAAAGTATTTGGAGTCCCTAGTTGGAAAAAGGATTGGGTAAGTGATTGTACCTTGTGTTTCCCTAATGCAGGTTACCTTTAAATACTCCTATATATTTAATATAATCCAGAATATTTGTAACTTTTTATATTTTGTATTAATGATAAAGAGGTTTGTGATGGTGAAGAAGAAACCTTTAATTGAACCTAGTAATGAAATTAGAAATTTGAATTATAACTGACGAGATATTTACAGTATATTACTACACCATATCTTTGTTATTGCAAAGAGGAGAAGTAGCAGATGTGGCAAGGAAGACCACACAGCTCCATCTGGTACAACTGTCATGACCTTTCCAGGAATGGGAGGACCTTCTCTCAGTTACTCATGTCTTGACTACCTGCTGCAATAGACGATATGTAGGGTTGGCTTTGTAGACCATTTGGAAACTGATGGGTATTTCACAAAGGATCTGCCTGACACCACTGATGTAGGAGATGACCAGGCTGAGCTTGAGAGAGAAAAAAAATTAGAGGATTGTTCTACATGATTCTTTGAGCACCTGGGGAAAAAGATGGGATATAAACCTAACAGATGAATACATGTATTAGAGAAGTTGAGGTGAGAAAAAAATAAATAAAGAGAGAGCTGCTGGAAATTTCTGAAGCTAGAACATAACTTAAGAAAAACTCTGATAGTGTGCCGTATACAAAATATGGCCGGTAATGACATGAAAACCTGCCCACTGTGACTTTGCAATCGGTACAAACCAGTTACTTTGAATAAACTGTGAACAAATGAACTAAACTGTGAACAAATCAATTCAGAACACGGATGCCTCTGGTAAAGCAGAATACCAGAAACACCCTGTGCCTTGGGTCACCTGCCTTTTATCCTGAAAAAGTGATATCAGTAATTCATTTGCAGTGATTTCACTGCTGCACTTAAATATGCTGGATACTTTGTGGATGGCACCTATTGATGACTGTTTCAAGACCAATAAAAAAAATAATTATTTGCCACATGGCCAAAACTCCACATTTTATACTTGGACATTCCTTCTAGCTATAATTTTCCTTCAGGGTCAATGTGTTCACAAACCCAGGAAACATTTAATCAAGTGTCATCCATTAGAGCAGAGGGTAAGATCAAGACAAGTGATTTTGTTGTTGTTTTAAAAATGAGAATTACAATAAAAGTATGAGTGTTGACTGGCCTAGTCTTTGAGAGGCTTGTGCATTAATATGCTTCTTGCAACTCCATTTTTACTTGAAGAGACAACAACCCCCTTGATGAGCAGATGCCAGTCAAACGTCACTCGGATGCTGTCTTCACTGACAACTACAGCCGTTTACGAAAACAGATGGCGGTGAAGAAGTACCTGGACTCTGTTTTAACTGGGAAAAGAAGGTAGACAGAGGAAATGCCTAAAAATATCTGGGTTTTAAAAGGATCAGACAGCAATAACCCATTAACAAAATCTTCTTTTTAATGTATTGAAAAACAATTAGCAACAGTGGCTTTCTTCTGGGGACAAATTATCATAAAAATAGTTTTAAAGCACAGCAAATTGTGTACTGAAAAGAAAGGGGAGCATGACCCGTGCGTGTTTTCTATTTTTTGACATCTTTCTGCATGCAAAGGAATTAATTAGCAAAGAATTGGTGACCTAATTCTCAAATGGTTTTATAATTACTAAATAAAAAGCTTTGTATTGTGTTTCCATAAAATAGCTATACATTATTTTATATGACAAAACTATTTGAGATGTATCCTTTCAGTAAAAAGACCTGTAATGTTTGGCACAATAAAAAGCAGAAGCACAAAGATTATTACGCTCCTGGGATTCAACAAAATGTGCATTGTTTCTCCGCCATTTTAGTCAAGAAGATCTCAACCCACCCAATCTTCGGGATGAAGTAGAATTGCTTGAACCAGCCTTCTCAGAAAATTATGATGATGTGACTGTAGATGATATGGGTCTTCTGAACCGCCTCCCACTGGTAGGTTGAAATTTGTTCCCAATAAGAGAAATCACCTGACCTTCAATCCTTGACACCCATGACATGGCTACTCCTCTGCAAAAAAAACTCTCTTAAATTATATAACTTCATATCACAAGAAGATAATTGTGGGGCTTAAAATATATAAGCTAATGAAAATTAGTAGTTTGACATGGTTAACTTGCTCAGTTTGCTGGGATTTTTCTTAAACTGTTAATATTAAGCTGAAGCTCAGACAAGAATAATCTCTTTGAACATGATTGCACAAGTGCTTCCCTTTAATGAGATAGAGAGAAGATAGATGATAGATGATATATCAGGGGTCCCCAACCAACGGTCCATGGACTAGTACTGTGGACCAGCATGCCAGCAACCCGTCTGCACAAACAAGCAAAGCCCCATCTGCGGGATGCAGGCAGCACACAAAACCATGCACCCTCTGGTCTGTGGAAAAAACTCTCTCCACAGAACTGGTCTAGTGCCCAAAAGGTTGTGGACCTCTGTGATAGATGATAGATGATAGATAGATAGTCCATAGCTTTTTTCTTCATATCCTTCTGATTAATTGAAATTGAATTTGTAGCCAACAATCCCCAAAGTTTATCCTGACATACCAGACCTGCACTTCCATTGTCTCATACCTTGATTAGCTGTCACTCTCAGACTGAGTTCCCATACATATGAAACTGAAATTATGTAATAGTTTCAAAGCAGTGAGTTGCTCTGCATTAAGCCAGTCAAAAGTGATCGATGAAGGAAAATACAAGACCCTCTTCAGTGGGTTATGAAGTTAAAATGGACCTCCTTGCCTAGATCTTTTGTTGGAGATGGAATTTAGTGAGACAAAGAACCTTATGAGACATAAACGGTGGGAAATGACATATCTGGAGAAGGTATGTACAATATATGTGGACAGACAATGGGAAATACAATTTGTACTTAGTTCAAAATATTGGCTATGCAATATCTTAACAAGCATATGCCTATTTAGGATACCAGCCAGCCAGGCATGCTTTTTCTCAGGATTGACATTGATTAATTTAGTTCTAAGCATGTTCTATACCTTTGATTTGCTTCCCCTTGATATAATGTTCTATTATCCTTTTGGAGATCACTTTGAGGTAACCAGGGTAGGGAAGAGGCATGTCTTGACAAGTGGGGAAATATCAGATCCTACTTGAAAGACATTAAACTAGACTATACATGTAGCATTGGAACATAAAAAGCAGCAATGGTGGATCAGGCTTAAACCCTATCTAAGGGTTTAAACCCTATCCAAGGTGATCAATTTAATCCCTCTATAAATCATATCAACTGCTTCTAAGCATTCCTAATCTTGTTCCTGAGCAACAAGTATTGAACAAACATATATCTGATACTGGAGGGAATATATGGCAATAGCCATTAATAGCCTTATCATCCATGAATTTGTTTAATCAATTTTTAAAGCTGCCTGGTGGTAACCATCAAGACTACTCTTTCTAGTAAGTTTCTAAATGCAACTCTATACACTGTGAGCAGCATTTTTTCAGCTCCTCTGAATCTTCCACCATCCAGTTTTATTTGATGAACTTTAATATTTATTTTTTTGTACTGTAATATTTTAATATTACAGTACAGAAAATAAACAACCTCTATAATAAAATAATACTCTATATTTTCTCCCTGTTCCAAAAGAGAGGCTAATCTTTCAGCAGCTGCCATGAAAGCCAACCTATAGGATCAACAGGTCAGAACAATGTTATATAAATGGGACAAACAATAAACAAAATGCAGGCAATTCGTACTTTTATATTTAAAGATAGTGATGTTAGAAATACTGCAGATGTCAGAACAGAATCTTTCAAGAATGTATTTAGTTTCTACCTTCCTTCAGCTACCTTCTACTAAAGGTCCTATAAAAACTATCCATGTTCAGAATTCTAAGGGGTCCTAGGAGAGATGAAAATAAGCAACTTCGGGCTCCAGAAATGAAAGGAAGAATGAAATGAGTTTTCTCTTTTTTGCCTGGAAAACAGAGCAGCTTCTTATGGATGCTACTTTCCCAGGATTTTGTCCAAACCGTGGTTCTTCCTTTATTTCAATGTGAGGGTCCAGAATCTAATTATACTGTAGATACAATGATTTCTACAGAGGCATCAATTGTTTTGGACTGTGGCTTCCATCAACCCAATTAGCATGATCAATGGATAGACATCTGTTGTCACTAGAAGGTGTTTAGTCCATTATCCCAGTCTATTTATGACAAAGCATCCAGAAGAAGCATTATGATCTAAGAGCATCCTTAGAAGTGTATTGCCTGTATTCCCATATTGAGGCCATCAGCACTATAAAAGACTTTGCGTGCAAACTTGGGGAAATCATACATAAAGTAGGATATTCTAGCTCAGAGGTCTTCAAACTTGGCCCTTTTATGACTTGTGGACTGGTGTGCCTCTGAGGAATTCTGGTAATTGAAGTCCACAAGCCATAAAAGGGCCAAGTTTGAAGATCCCTTTTCTAGCTGATCATAGATCTCCTTATAATGCAATTTGCACAATTTCTCTATTGGCTGAATTACAGAAAACCTAAGAAAGTATTTTTTTTATTGAATTGACTTTCATTCTAGAGCACAAGCAACATGTGATAATATTATTGTTGTTGTTAGTACTACTGCTAAGGATAAAATCTCTCAGTCTAATAGAAGAGTTGTATATCAACAGAAGTATGGAGCTTGCAAGTTTTATAACATTAAGTAAGAAAACTTGGCTCAAAAAGTTGACTTAAGAAAACCTCTCACCCTACAGTAAAACTGTATCAAGGAAAGTTTTTATTTACTTATATAGTTTGTTTTAAATATCATTTTCCTGTTGACATGAAATGGAATTGATCCAGCACACAATCTCTACTAGCTAAGCAGGAGAGGTGGCACACATTAACAAATCTCTCCTAACTCTGCAACCCATCACATCCCCCAAACCCAATTGACAGAATTAGAATAAGAATATCTGACTGTTTGGTTGCCAGGAGTTCTGTTATTTGTCCTTGCAGCTGAGGGCTGCATGCAATATGACAGTAGTGCAATTATTTCATCACAGAGGTGGGGCTGGAATTCTCATCCCCTTTTCTTAACTTGATGGGTTTCATTTTTAAAAAAAATAAAATAATCAGATTAAGCATTACTGGCATAATACATATTTTTAACTTCTTATTTTGAGAAAAATAGAACACAGCAGAAAATCATGGTGTAGTTTGTCAAGACATTTCAGGTGGGGGATCATGGGGGAGTGTCACCAAAAGAGGCGGAGGGACCCATGTGATCTGGCCTTTATGATTTTGCACCCACCTTTATTCTAGGGGAAACATTGCAGTCGGAATCGTAAATCAGCTGATGAATATTTCTTTCAATTTCTGGAAATACGTAAAAATCTGAACCCAAGCTAACAACGCTCAATTAGTGAGACCAAATTTTTAAGAAATGTTCATTAAAATGTCTTGAACATTTAAGCTCATATTTTTTTTTTGTTTTCTTCCTTTCTTTTTCTCTCTCTCTCCAGAATCTCTGAAGACGACTCATTTAAAAAAAAAAATCCTTCAAAAAGTCCTGGAAAAAAAAATCCTAAAAAAAAAAAAGATCAAGCTATTTTTTTGAGTTTCTCATGGCATTTCAAAGAGATGATTTCATTATTTAAATCAAAACAAATATATATTGTGGAGTGAAATTTGTGATATTTATGTTTCTTATATAATAAAAATGGATGTTTACACTGTAAATAATAACTTAGATCTGACTGTACATACTGTATGTATGCTGGTTTAACTCATGCAAATTCTCTGTCTTCTGATGCTGTAAGTCTGTTACTTTGATGCCTGCAGTTTCAGTAAAGACAAATAATGCAGAGAAGCAAAATATATCAAGTTGCTGTTTATACTCGATACAGAAAAAGGATTAGGCTCTTTGCTGGATAATTCAGGGATTTCTGTGTTGTCCTTTCCTCATCCCTGCTATCTCTGCCTTAAGGGAGATGCAGCCAGGTATTTCAGAAATATGCTGCAATAAAGCACGAAGGTGTCCATACAAAACCTGGCAGCGTTTGGCTGCCTTCCACCATCGACTTACAACAGTTCATTTAGTGACCATTCAAAGTTACAGCATCACTGAAAAAAGTGACTTATGACCGTTTTTCACACTTACGACTGTTGCTGCCTGGTCACGTGATCAGAATTTGGATGCTGAACAACCGATTCATTTTTGTGACGGTTGCTATGTCCCGGGATCACTTCACTTTTCTCAACCTTCTGACAAGCAAAGCCAGATTCACTTAACAGCCATGTTACTAACTGAACAAGTGTGGCAAGAAAGGTCGTAAAAATGGGGCAAAATTCGATAAACAACTGTTTCACTTAGCAACAAAAATTTTAGGCTCAGTTGTGGTCCTAAGTTGAGGACTACCTGTATAATAAAAGCTTGCAGTCCTGACTTTTAGCAGGTCAAGGTCCTGCCCAAGCTTGGATGGAAGCAAGGTTTTTCACCAGATCAAATAGATGGTGTTTCCTTCATGTCAGCAGGCAAATGGTGTCCCTAAAGCACAGGGTATCACTCGAGACAATAAGAAAATAAATTGATTGAATTTGGATGGAACATTGGCTTGTCACTGGGAGCAATATTTAAAACCCTAGCAAGATATAGTAAATATGGGAGTATTTTGATGGGATAAGAATGTGAATACATACAAACAAACACAAACACAGAAAGAGAGAGAGAGAGAGGGAGGGAGAGGGAGAGAGAGAGAGAGAGAGAGAGACCCATAGCAGGTTGGTCGTGAAATTACTTTCCAGACAAGTGGCAAACCAGAAGATGGGAAGTAGAAATCTTGTGTGTACACACTCTCTGCCTGATTCCCAAGTGCTTCTCCAGCTTGACAAACTTTGGTTTACTGACTTAGGCAGCATACTGACCTTTTCAAGGGATAAGACTAGCTTCTGTGGAGCCAGCAAGTGAAGCCTCTTGAGATATGACTTACTCAAATAGTCATTGATTGTTTTCAACTGGAAAAAGCCCAGCACCCATAAATAAACCACTTGCCAGTTCAAGGCCGGAAACTGACAAGCTAAATATTGTTTCAACTAAATTATTTTTCAACATAGGTAGCCCTGGCTTCAGTTTCTAATATTGACAGCTGCTAGCAAACATATTTTATAGTTATATTTTGTATTCTGATGGTGCTCTGCTTATCTTCAGTGGGAGAATGTTAGTCCCTTGCATCTTCTTTCATATGTAGATGGTAGCTAACTTCCAGGCAGATAGCAAGTGAACAATGAAGTAAACTGTAAACTGTAGACTTTTCCTCTCCTTCCTTTCTGGAATTTGGAATAAAACCATCCCAGGCTTTTTAAAAAAGCAATGTCCCAAAGCTTCTAGCATCTGGACATCTTTACACCCTAAGTGTTACAAAAAGTGGGTGAGACTTATAGGAAAATAAGAAGGGGGCATTGAAGCATGTTAGAATTGGCTGGAAAGATATTCCTTCCCAGTCCCTACTATGATCCAAGCAATTTTCTTGAAACACCAAGTGGAAAAAAACTCCATTATGATCAGCTTACAAAAGGACTTAGGGGAGTGTTCTCTGTATAGTACAGGGGTCTTCAAACTTGGTCCTTTTATGACTTGTGGACTTCAACTCCCAGAATTCCTCAGCCAGCGTGCCTGGCTGAGGAATTCTGGGAGTTGAAGTCCACAAGTCATAACAGGACCAAGTTTGAAGACCCCTGATATAGTATGTGGTAAGCTGGCCAAATTCATATCCCAGATTGTTGCTCAGGCAACCAGGTTGGTCTCATGTTGTAGTTGCTATCATTATTACCAGCAGCAACCAGGGAACATCCTTATTCCAGTAAGGATATATTAAAAAAAATTACCCCTCTTTCTCTCCTAGCACAGTTAGTATTAGCATGCGTTCAAGACTTTCTGGAGCCTTCTCCAATATAAGGGAGAAATTGATGTTGAGAACTTGCCTGATGGAGCTGCTGTCATTCATTTACAAGATCTGAACCAGCATATAGTATGTTAGCATTTGATCAGGACTCAGAAACTATAATATGGTTGGCATTTGATTATGTAGTCTTGAGCACTCTGATTTATTTTTTAAAAAATATTAAATTAACGTGTGAATCATTTAATATGAGATATAACAGCAATAGTATTTGTGCAAATCATGATTCAATGCTCAGTACTGGTAAAATTGGAACATTGCATATGTTTGGGTGCATGTATATTCGGTTGGATATGCTGTACATATTTCAAATATAGTCTTTGGGGGGGAAAAACAACAGCTATAGTTGGATGGAAATTCCGCTGTCAAAATAAACAATGACGCTGCCATGAATGTTGTAGGAACTTCTCCAGCATCCTGCTGCAAGGAATTTTATTTTTCAAAGGCTATCAAATTTCTACTTGCAGCAGAAAATCAGATCAAACACACATTTATCACTTCCATGAAAACTTATTTATAAGAGTAGCAGTTTTTTCTTTGTTGTTCTTTCAGGCATCTGTTGGAATTGTTGCATTGTCATCAGCGGCCTGTATAAGGAATGGACAGAAGATAACAATAGGAATAGCACTCAGACTTATATACTACCCCATAGTGCTTTACAGCACTCTCTAGGCCAGACATGTCAAACTTGCGATGTCACGTGACGTCATGCAATGTATCGGAGCTTTCCCCCCATTGCCGGCAATGGAGTGGGCGTGGTTTCCCAGTGATGCATCCGGTCTGCGGGCCGGCAGTTTGACACCCCTGTTCTAGGCGGTTTACAATGTCAGGATATTGTCCCCAACAATATGGGTTCTCATTTCACCAACCTCAGAAGGATGGAAAGCTGAATCAACCTTGAACCCCGTCAGAATCGAACTCCTGGCTTGCGGGCAGAGTTTGCCTGTAATATTGCATTCTAACCACTACTCCTTTTATCAATTTACCAGGCAAATTGTTAGCAGATTTCAGGAATTCTTAGTAGAGATGATTTTCACTAGAACCACACGTGTTTCTGACTCTCAATCTTCTTAACAATCACCGTAACCAATATTTCATCCTTAAGTTTAATTATTGGGGAAAATACTGGGGAAAACGTACGAGCTTCCTGAAATGTTAACACAGATATTATTGGGTGCTGCAAATTTCCCTCTGTAGAGCTGGAAGCCCTCCTTTAACAATAAGGCCCTCTCATGATGGCATACTAGCACTGAGCCAAAACTGAAGTGGCTGCGTGGATTTCAGGAGAAATGAGGCTCTCACCTTAAGGAGTGCTGCTTGACGGATTATCACATGGATTACCTATCGAATAATTAGCTTGCTGCTGGGCAGCTTTAAAGAAATCCAGTTGAAACTACAGCTTGCATTATTACTCCGTGATTCATTCCATACTCTACAAGTTCCTATTCAGCCTTCATCCTCTGAGCCAACTTTTCAAAGAGTCAGTGTTGTTACACATACTGGGTTCTGCAGTGCAAATCTCTATTCCACAATATTTTCCTTCAAGGCTGAATAACTGGAAAAGGAGACTTTCCAGGTTTTAATGCAAGTATAATGAACTTGTCAGGCTACTTGCTTTTTTGAGAGTACTGCTAATGGACAATATGTTAACTAACGAGGCAGCTTTTTGATACTGGATCATGCATAATATTACCTAAGAAGAACAAAGGAGCATTTCACACACGCACACACACATGTACAACCAATGCTTTTCTTCTCTATATATTTTTTTAAATGATCTAATTAATCCTCCAGAAATATTGACCATTTGAAATGGTATTTAATTACAGGTAAGACCTCGACTTATGACCACAATTGAGCCCAAAATTTCTGTGGCTGAACGAGAACAGTGGTTAAGTGAGTCTTGCCCCATTTTACGACCTTTCTTGCCACAGTTGTTAAGTGAACCACTGCAGTTGTCAGAAGGTCACAAAAAGTGATTACATGACCCCGGGACACTGCATAAATATGGCCTCTGAATTTTGATCACGTGACTGTGGGGATGCTGCAATGGTCATCAGTGTGAAACATGGTCATCTCACTTTTTTTCAGTGCTGTTGCAACTTCAAACGGCCACTAAACGAAACGTTATAAGTTGAGGACTGCCTTTATACAATTCTAGTTGTGGAATGACTCACAGAAGTCTGGCAGTAGAAGGAAGTACCAGGATCATGTAGTTGAACCCTCTGTTCAGGAACACCAGTTAAACCATCCTTGAGAGGTAACTATGCAGTCTCTTCTTTGAATCCAGCAGAATGATAGAAATGGCCCATATAAAGCATAAACAATTGTCATACTAAAAAAATATATCAAAATTTGCCACCATATGAAACAATCCACTGCACTGAAAACCTCATTCATGAATTCTGCTGTAGCAATATTAGAACTGACTAGAGAGTGGGCCATTTCAGGATCAGCTTACATTTGTTGGAGGGCAAAGTATTCCAAAATCACAACATCCAATAGAAATATTCCTAATCTATCATTACCCGTAAGAGACAATAATGTGCAAGAAATAACGTGCACGCTTTCAAAACACCAGAGCTCTTCTCGGGGTAGATAGCATGTCAGGCAAGGTGAATGATGCCTTGGTGTGAAAATAAACTGACTATTGTTGAAGCTGTAGTATCTGCATAACTTCACTCTTTCACCATGAAAGAGCT